GGCTCTTTCTGGGGTTTTTCTTTCTTGACTGTCAGTTGCCATGCAGTCTAGAGTTTGGATCAATGTCCGTGTGCTGTTTTCCCATTCAACTTTTCTCTTTCTGCCCAAGCCGCTTCCCTCTATCCACTTCTGTCAGTCATTAGGAATTATGGTGGCTTTAGGGTAGGTTGCCATATAAAATATTTGCCTTCTGTACATAGATGTATCAGCTAATGTTTACTTTGGGCCTGGTAGATAAGTGGTGAAAATTAAGTTGAGATTCTTTTTATCACCTAAAATTGCTTTCACTGACGTTATGATTGCTTTGAATTATGCACAAAGAAGGGTTTGTTGTTTGGGGGTGAACATTTTTCATGCATGGAGCTCCTCTTGGCCATGCTTTGGAAAGACTGAGTGTTGACCTACAGAGGTTTAGCTGGGCAAGTTGACAGAATCTCAGTCCTCCATTTTCCTGTGACTGACATCTCTGCCTTTATTCTCCGTTTTGGTGACACAAGCAGATATGGGCTGATGAGAGGCCCTTTCTAATTATTATTTCTGGACTCTTAAATATTCCTTTCACTTCTGAACATCTCTTTTTCTCATTGACTTTGACCCCCTGGGATTTCATCTGTCAGGATGTTTACAATCAAGTATGTTGAGAGCATCCACTAGATTCAAGTTAGTTCAACAAATCTCAGCACCCCTAGAAGTAGATATTATATTTTTAGTGATGAAATTAATACCCTGACTTTGGGTGTTATAATTTTATATGAATCACTCTGAATTTATATGAGCTCTTGGATATTCTCATTATAACTTAGTTAAAATAAAGTTATCATGTAATTGCTTTCACATGGGCTTGGGAGTCAGAATGGACTCAAATTGAGTCTCAGCAATGACAATTCTGAGTTATGTGACCTTGGAACACTTACTTAAACTCTTGGGATCATAGTCTCCTCCCTTTTTTTCCTCCCTCTTTTAAAAATGAAGAAAATAATACTTTGTAGGGTTGTTGTTAATAGTAGATGAAATAATTAAAAGTACTTAGTACAGTCTTGACACATACTTAACACTCAATAAATGGTGCCTATAAAACAACTATGTAAGTAAGTCCTAAAGAAAGTCATAAAATTAGCTCATCACTAGGTTTAGATTTGTTACATCCCAGGGGAATGAGGAAATTACCTTTATCACAAAAGAGTCG